AAAAAACTGTGATTTGAATATTTTAAACTATTAAGGCGATATGATTTTTAAAATTTTTATTTATAAATGAATACTGTGGGCGTTTCGGGATAAATTAGTGTCAATTAATTTTTCCCACCACATTTTAAGAGTGGAACGAAGAAGAAATGAAACGGACAGTCCCATTCCAAGCAGCGAAATAGGAATGGAACAAAACGAGCGGTACTCGGACTAAGTTTCAGAATGGAATGAAATGGAATTGAACGGAACAGAACTATCTTGAACTTCTTCCAGAACAGTTCCTTCGGAGTGGAACGAGTGGTCTCATTCCAAGTCGGAAAGAGAACGAACGGCCTTGAATTGTTCGAGAAAACAATTCCAACTTTTCGTTTGGTCTAATTATAATATTTCTTGCTGATTAAAGTGTCTGCGTATGATCTTATTTTCAGGTTAAATTTGTAAGATTTAGATTAATTAAAATCTATCTATAATAACTAAGTAAAATAGAAAAGGATCGAAATGGGTTAGTGTTTATATCTTCCTTATATATTCTTTTATATTTTCCTGGAACTGGTGTAACAGAGTATTTAAGTTTAAAATTAATTACTCAAATTTATGAATTTTACTTACCAAAAAATAATTTTATTTCAGAATTATATTTCATTAACTTATTTTTTATTTATTAACAGAATATATTTTATTAACTTTATTTTTCCACTCACATCTGTCAGAAGTTCCAACAACCAGCGAGCGTAATGGCGAGTTGTAGAAGACTGGAATAGGCGGCGTTCTTCCTGTCTAGATTTTAATATTTGTAGTTAGTGGAGGAGATCCCTCATCCAGATTCTTTTGAGCCTAGTACGGGTGCTATCGGACATGCTAGATGTCGTTGCCTTGAATCAATGAATTGGTATGTCCATGTAAGTTATTATGAAATATTTTGTTGTTCGTATGTGGTCGTTAACTGTTGGCATCTGGAGGTATTTATGTAAAGTAATGTTCCTGACATACCAGGGATCCTTGATGATAATCCTGAATGTTTATGATTGAAAAGTTTGTAGTTTACATATGTGGTTGTTTTTGACTCTCTCGTATATCTGTGAAGCGTAGGTCCAAACACGATTAAGTAGTGAAGTGCATGTATTCAATTTTTGTCTGAGTTTTAATTTCGAATGTCTGTTAAGAAGTGGGTATAACGTTCGTAGTCTTAGGTTTAGAGTTTTTGTTTTCTTGATATGTGGGCCTCATGTTGTTCTTCTGTCAAATGTCAGTCCAGGATATTGAACTTTGTCTGTCTGAGGAATTTAGACTTCGTCAAAGTAAATAGCCAGCAAGTGTCACGTCGAAGGATAAAAGTTATATGTTGTGATTTGTCTTGGTTAAGTCTAATTTTCCATAGTTTGCACCAGTCGTGGAATTTGTTTAGGTGATATTGTAGATTCGGTGATATTGTCGGTCTTTCTAGTTCAAGTTACATATAAGTTACATTCAATAATCATATATCTAGAAATATTCAACAGATATCCAGTTTAGTTCCATCTTGCAATGACAATTAAAATATTTTATTGGCAAAATAGGACTTGCTTTGACAAGACTTAAACCCAACAAAACAAACAGAGGAGCGAATACTGACCCCTAAGGCACTCCTGCTAAGGCTTGTTTAATAATGGAAAGTTCTGTGCCTTGGCAGATAGAGAAAAATCTGTCACAAATAAAAGATTGAAGAATAAGATAATAGGTTGGAGGGAATATCGTCTTAAGTTTGAAAAGAAGCACGTGATCCTAGATTCTATCGAACGCTTGGGCAACATCCATAAATACTCCTGTTCAGGGGTACCCAGAAGGTACTCGCTCCTGTAATAAAAACGCAAGTTGCGCCATCAAATTTTTTGAGGAGTACACATTTTGACGGGATTATGATTTTTTTTCAACGTCACATTTCGATAGGGTTATGAATTTTCGGAATGGCAAGTTAAAAAAAAAATACAAGGGAAAGAATAGAAGATACTGTACGAAGTGTAATAATGTATAATTTTTCTAATTCTACTTTAGCTTGCATTATTTTTAAGAGGAGGTGAGCAATAAAATATCTTGGAAGAAAAGAGGTGCTCCATAGACCTTGGGGAGGGGATGGACATCCCTGCTGCTGTAATATATAATTTGTGCTCTAGTGCCGTCGCAATATAATTCGTCACTCTGTTTAATTGGTGAATGGTTGAATGGAGTGAACGGAATCCAAATTGATGTTCAGGTGTATGTTTTCGTTCGTCAGTATGGGAAGAAGTCGTTCCTAGAATAGTTTTTCATAGATTTTTTTTAACATAATGGGAGCAAGTTGATAGGTCTGTATGGTAAAGGGAAGTCGGTGTTCTTGTTTGGTTTGTGAATCATTTGAATCGATATTTCCATTGTAAGGGAAATTTGGTCGTTCTGATTTTATGTTATAAATTGATGTTAGGTACATTAGAGCATTCCTTCGCATTTTCTGGAGAACTTCAGCATTTATTACGTCATGGTCGGAGGCTTTCTTCTTAGGTAACTGTCTAATTTGTTCTGCGACTTAAGTTGGAGTGAAGCAAGAAGGAGGTGATGATAACGGTAAAGGAATGTCTGAAGTGGTTTGTACAGGTCTTTCGTGTTCAGTGTTACAGAAGTCAGTTGGAGTTATTGTCATGGTGTAAAAACAGAAGAAAGATGGTTGACTACGACCTCAGATTTTTCAATGTCTGACAGCTCGGGAAGCATCTAAGTTTCAGAGAGGTGCTGATACCTCACGATGCTTCACAAGCTTCTTAGTCTGTCTCCATAAGCTTTCATCGTCAGTCGAAAGGTTTATGAGGTAATTGTCGTAGTTCGGTCTTTTAAAATTCTGAATCTGTCGTTTAAGTTCAATTTTAAGTATATTAAAAGTTCGTTTGTCAGATGGAAGTCGATCAGTCTGCCATAGATTACGAGCTCTTCTCTTTGCCCTAATCAAATCTCTAGTGTACTGTGGATAGTTTGTAAGTGGCCTTTGTACAGACGATGACCATCCAGCCTACTGAAAGATGCTGGTAAACTTTTCAACGGCTTCTTCTAGTTCAACTTCGGTCTTGAGAGACATTAGGATTGAAAGCGTCGAATTTAAGTAGTCGCTGTAAACTTTCTAATCCATTATCCTTTCTACAACTGATTGTTTTTTTTTAGTACGAAGCTCGTCGCATAGTTCCAAACTGAGAAGAGAATGATCAGAACAAAGATCTGTGCTCGCAGTTATAGTATACGTCACTGTCCTAAGTCCTTTAGTAACGAAAAAGTCAAGTTGGTCCATGGCGTATGAAATTTCCCTCCCTCTCCTAAATTGTATTACCCTCCTCTTCTTAAAAACAGTGCAAGCTAAAGTAGGATTAGACAAATCGCAGATCATACACAATTACAATTGCTCTGTCCCATGTTTTTCTCTTAGTTCTCAGTTTGGAAACTTTTCACTCTGAGAATTCATTAACCCGCTGAAATGTGCCTCCTTCAAAAATTCAAAACCCAGTCAAAAGGTGTCCGGAAACCCGTTCGGAACGAAGATGGAACGGAACAAGAACTGGAATGAACTCTAGTGTTGAAATATTTCCTTCCATTCCATTCCGACCTAAGTTGGAATTGCCTATCCCTATCTATTAGGGATTAGCTGTTCTGGCAAAGTTTCTTTGATTACATGATAATATTAAAAAAAATGTTAAAAAAACATGAAAAAACTTTGTAAACAAATAAAAAGTAGATGAATTTAATTTCGAATTTGCTTGTATTTTGGAAAAAAACAAGCAATAAAAACATTTTGTTAAATGTATAGGTGAAAAATCAAAATTTTGTCGTTTTCTTCATGATAAAATGAATTTTGCTCAAAAAAGATTTTTCATGAGATTATAAGTTTTATAAAATTTTTTTATGTGATTGTTGAATTTTGACAATTTAGGTAATTCATATATTTTCAGAAATACTGTTTTTAGCAAAATGAGGAAGAAAATAAAAAGCTAAAATAATTATGGATGTAGAAAGAATAAGAAAACAACAAACTTGTTTTTTTAATGTTTTTAAATGGCGTTTAGGTCTGAAATGTTATAATATAGAGGAAATAAAATTTCTTGTTAAAAAGATCTAATAAAATCTGTATGTCTAATAATATTGTTAAATAAAATCTGTGGGATTTATCAGGTCTTTTTTGTAAAAACATTAATCTTATAATGATTAAATATAATTTTTAATTTGCTAGTTTTCTGTGTTGCTGAACCCAAAAATGTTTTTTGACGTAAAATTAACATGGAAATTTCTTGTTTTGTTTTTTTCAAAATGTTGACTTTTAGTTTTTTGTCTATATGTTGAAAAAAGTTGGTTTTTCCTCTAAAAGACCAACATATACAAAATTAAAATCATCTACTTTTTATTTCTAGAAAGTTTTATTTTGGATTAACTGTTAAGTGCGAGAGTGATTCATAAAAGAGGCACAATTTCCAGCAGTGAATGAACGTGTGGGAGGAAATTTCTGTCAGCAAACCTTAGATTCAAGTTCAGTGGCATAAAAAAACTCGATGGCACAAAAATTTATAACAAAACTTTGTCCTATTTATCCTTACCTCTCCTAATTGAATCGGAAATAAATGAACAGTCTGAAGTCAAATTCAGATAGTTAAAGTTCCAGTATTTGTACCACTTATAATTAAACTAGTTTAGTTGATTAAATTAATGGTAATTCAATCATTCACTATGTCTACTTTTGGAACCAGCTGTAAATAATTCAAAGACCAAATAACCTTCATTGAAAATGGAGTATACATGGTGAATGTATAATGAAGACTTTCTTATATATATATTGTACAAAAAATTACTTCTTGTTAATTCTCCAGAATGAACATTTAAAAAATGTTTAATTTTGAAATCACATCATTTTATTACCAAACCCTTACTACTCACCAACACGAAAATTGAGTATTATAAATTATCAATATTTACTTCTAAAATAACAGTTTTTATGGTAAATAATCATTCCAAATTTATTCAAAATTTTAATATAATTTCTCATTAACATTTATGTACAAATTATTCATTAAAAAAACTTTTCCTATATCAAAATCCTCTGTTTATAAATCTAAACTTTAAATATTCAACTTTTACTTCTTAAGTACTAAACAACAATAAATATAAGAGTTTTATACACATTCTGTGTCAACAGTTTATAACCTAGTAGTCTTTGAATACAATATATGACATTTGAATATGATTATTATACAAACGTCTTGTAACTAAATCTATGTTTATCATTCAAGTATCACACTTTCCCCCGATTAAATATCTACGTTTTGAAACTATTTAGCTCTATTTTTTATTGTTACAGTCAAAGTGTATTTCACATATGTTTGGTGTGTTTACTTTGGCTTACCTAATTATAGGTAGAGAAAATATTAAAATCATGTTTTGTTTTTTTTTACATATTTTTATATGTACATGTTTCAGAAAATATACAAAAGAACCTCTAAAAATGTATTAAAATGAAAAACAAAATAAAATGGAAATCACTAACTCTTTTTTTATACTTTTAACAGCCATAGATCATTACTTTCTATGTTTTCAGGCACTTAATACTAATTTATTCTTAAGTACTAGTATTTAAGGCCAATAAATATGATTGACTGTCATGCTAATGCAAATTATCCAAAATAAAGCCTAAGTGATATTCTATTAATTCATCACTATAGAAAGAATTGTATAAGTTTTAGGCCTAGTTTATATGGGCTCAACACTAAGTAATGCATTGCTTTGCACTAAAAAAAATCTCACAGCTAAACCTCCAATAAAATTGGTCAGATAGACAAAATAATAAGAATAAAATAAAATGTTTTATTATGAAAAATATCACTTTTAAAAATTTTAAAAGAGCTGATAACAGATCATCAACAGTTTGAAGTCTGAAGGAGACACGGAGAGGATACCCTACTTAAAGCTTGGCAATTGGAACTGTTTTTTAAAAATCATACTCACCGCTTTTCTAATACTTCAAAAGAGCTTACTTATATGCCACTGAAGGCAGTGAGAAAATTTAGTATTAAGCCCTTATAAACCAGATTTTCTTTAATATAAACAAGTAATACAAAAATTGCAAATATACAGCTGTTTACAAATTTTATAATAAAAAACTAAAAATTAAATAATTTTGTTTTAATCCACAAGTTTGGAGGACTAGTTTTTACATTTTTGAACTGGCTGGGCTTCATTTTTTTTTCCTGGAAATCATCTCTGTTTTAACTGTAACAAAATCAGTTATTTTTAGAATTAATTAATTAATATGGACAATTATAATGATAGTATATATAGTCAAAATAATTTTACAGGCTTCGGAATATATATATATAATTGAAGCTTATAAAATTATTTTGGTTAAATTTGAAATGCATTCCAAATTGTTAAGAAAACAGATTCTTCAGTTGAAATAGATTATAAAATATTCAATCCACTGTATTACTTACAATTCATTTTTTAAATAATTATTTTGTTAAACCAGATCTTAATATGGGTCGTTAATTTACAAAGTGAACCTTAATATATTTTATTTAAGGAAGTTTATCGACTGTTCTACATATCATGGGTGATAAATACTCAGGACGCAGTCATCATAAGGTTTTTATTGGTGCGGCGTTTCAACCCAGTACTTGAATATCTTCAGTGCTCGAAACATGTCCTGATGATGATCGAACCCTCATGTTTGGATTGAAACTTCGGCACCAATAAAAACTTTATAATGACTGTAATCTGAATATTTATAACCCTTAATATATTTTTATCAACATTGAGATAAGTATCGATTCCCACATAAAAACATCCAATGAATCCGATGGCACAATTATTTTTTAAAAAAATTAACCAAAATATTTAAAAAAGTGATGTGAAAATACATTTGTTTCTGAAACTACCCTTTTCTCCCCCAAATAATGTAATGAAACTTGTATTTCTTATTTGATAAAAAACAAAAAAATAATTTTTCATAGTACAATTTTCATAACTCTCCCTTGAATCATAGACCATTTTTTCTCTCAATATCAAGCATTTTTTTGTCCTGAAGGGGGCCTTGAAATTTATTTCCAAAATTCAAAAGGAACCTTATCAAGTTCCAATGTTTTTTAATTTCTGCTGGAATAATCAGTGATTTTAGGGAATATATTCAACAAATTAAGAAGTTCTTAATATTTAAAAAAAAATTGATTATGATATCATAATGGAAAAATAAAATATAGTTTTTAATCTTTCCTGAAAAATTGTTTAGTGATTAGGGTTCACTTTGGAAATAAAATAATAACCCTTATAGGGCTTCTCAACAAATTTCAATTTTGTTGGTACAACATTTAAATAAATATATTAATGACATAATATAATTTTATTAATTAATAAAAATTTACTCCCTGACTTCTACAATTCTTTCAATGGGAATACGTTATTGTAGACTATTTTTCAAAACCAATACCTTATAAAAGTAATCTGAAAATCTCCAAAGAGTAATCAATTTGCTCATTGGATATGGAAGAACATAAATTTTTAAAAACCATTTTCCATGACAATTATCAATTATCTGAAAAATTACCTCATGCTTACATATCAAAATTTAAGTTGAACTTAGATAACAACTATATTGCTAATTAATATATCTTTTTCACTCATATTGCATTATCACCACCAAAAAGCTTATTAAAATAGCCTGTTCATTCCATACTCCTCAGTAAAATTCAGGAGCCAGTGCATGAACGATTGAATTATTAATAACAAGCTAAAATGTTGGAAGGGTTTTATAAGACAGACCATAGCTGAATTATCAAGCAATTAATTAGCAATCATTATTTGAGTGTCTGGTAGCCATCTGACTCTCCTTACTTTTTCAGATAAACAGTTCATCTTAAACAACCTCCAATTTTCTCCTAAAATTAGTCAGATATTAACTATGCAATAATTAACACTATATTATAAACTTGATCTTTTAAATGCTCAATATTTAAAAGATTTCATGAGAAAATAGCAGGTTCCTGGTTTCCAATAAATTAAAAAAATAAAAAAAATAAAGTTTATGTTAATGAATCAGAATCAGAGTAGACAATTCACCACAACCAAGTAAAAGAGATGGATCAATTTACAGCAAGAACAGTGCTTCTTTCTTTTTTTTTTTTGGTACTAAACTCCCCCCAAAAAATTCTAGGATCCTCAAGCTAAGGTTTTGACATTGAATCAACCCATCAGGAAACCTCTATACAACAATGAATGCCAGAATAGTTGACAAGAGTTTACGTGGGAGACCAAAAAGCTGGTGGATAGATAGAACCAACAAAGATGCTGCAGAGCTTTAAACTGAAAAGCACTAGTCCAATAAAGGCAAAGATGGAGAAGGCTGCTTCAGGCAGTCAAAAATCTACAAGCTCTGTAAAACCAATAGAAAAAAAAGTCCATGAGTCATTTTTGTCTAGGTAAATTCAAGATTAAAAAAAAACTGAAACCTAATTACTCATTAACACGTTCTAGCAACACTCCATTACTATCTTGCTAGAAATTATGGAAATTCCCAAAATGTTTTAGCTTGATGTTAATAAATTAATTTTAGTACACTGGCTCCCTGGCTGTATACTTCATTATGAGTTTATTTTGTTAATTTTTCAATACTTATTACACCTTTATCACCACAAATCAGATTCAGAATAAATCAAATTGCTAATAAATTTAGACTACATTACATTTTCTACTGAATATTATTATTTTCTATAACTATCCCAAGAAAAAGAAATGTTTTGAAAGAGAAACCTTTTTTTTTTTATACCTGAGAATATTTTCGAAATATTTGTTGTTGATGTTTCTAATTCATTAGACATTTTTATCATCTATTTATATGCAAGATTTATAAGTACCATTTATAAAGAAAATTATAATTTATTCCACTATATAATGGTTTTTAATTCCAGAAAAAAAAAACCTTTTGATTAGAAGATTTTCCAGTATCAAAAAAGTCAATTTAAAAAATATTTTCTGAAACCATGGTGGCCAAATGTGATAAAGTGCCACCTTGGACAACATTGAGTCAAAAGCAGTGCCAGATTGATTTATTATTGAGACCCATGGAATGAATCTTGGTTTCACTTTAGCTAGAATACATTGGTTACCTATTGGATAATCCATCCTACCTACCTAAGTAAGTTAAAATCAAATAAATAGGAATATATTTTCAGTTTGAAAATTTTTTCTTGTGTTAACGAAAACAGTAATAACTTAGAATTAGTGATTTATAAGTTTCGTCAAGATCATAGTTTTTAGAAAATTATGATTTTCAAAGTAATAAGAAACAATTTGTAAGTTAAAATTAACTAATAGGTAATTAAGAAGGGATTCGTCAAGAGTATCTTACTCCTTTGGTTATTAATTACTTCATTAAAAAATCATTCTGTAAAATTTTATCATTACATTATACATATTAAAATCTATTGAGGAAAATTAAATTATTTGTTACCAAAGTAAGTTTTTATGGATATCCAATCAATTTAACACTCCCAATTGGTTAAAATTTATAGACAGCTGTAATAACAGCCATATAAAATAAAATCTAAACCAAATAATATTAAAATTACAATTTTTTTCCTAAAGGTTCTATAAGATGACAGATGTAACATGCAAACATGCAAAGATAGAAATAAAAAAAAAACACATGCCACTGTACAAAGCATCAGCAAACTTCCCAAGAAATCCAGCATTATAACCAATCCATAAAATAAGAAATACTCACCACATTTTTATTTACTATATTTAACATTCGGGTGACTCGTAGGCTTTTCTTCAGCTGGAACATTTAAAATATGAAAAGATCTATCTTTTTTTTTTTTAAATTATTATTAAATCATTAAGCAAAATCCGTTCAATTAAAACAATTAACTTATAGTTCAAAATACCAACACCAACATCAAAATTAGTGACAAATAGTTACGCTTGGACTCTGCATTCACTGAGTCCAATAAACATATATATTTGTGCTGTGTGTGTGTGAGTGTCATAAACTAATTAATTTGTTAAATAGATTTAAATGTTTTTTTTTCATTATTTGATTAAAATAGTTAATAAATTGACATTGTTAGAAATAAATATTTTTATGTAAATTTAAACCTGTAAAATTTATGAGTACATGGTACTTACTATACCTGAAGATCAAAAACAGCCCAAAACGTTTTTTTATAAATAAAAATACCAATTTAAGAATATGATTAAAATGAATATAATTACTACCTTAACAAAAACTTTATAAAAATTGAATAACTTTATTGAAATTTCGAAATGTATTAAAAAAAAAAAAAGTAAATATGGTATAATGGATACAGACTCATAGAACAACAACCTATGATAGCATTCTAATAATAGTTCTAAATTAACCTGAGCCTATCTTTTTTTTTTAATGCCTAGCAGGATAAACAGGAATCAAAGAGTGAGTAAGTTAGTTTTTGGGTACACTTATTTCAATTTTTAAAATGCAAAATCGTTTTTGCCTATGTTTAATTTTACTATGCGTATTTTAAACATATTTAATCAAATACCATTCCATAAAAAATCAGTGCTTTTAAGTAAAAATCATAAATATTTATTAACATTGAATTAAAAAGAAGTAGACAAGTAGAAGTAGTGAAAATGTAATTAGAGTGCGAACATTTAATTAATAATACAAAATTACATTGAAATAAGAAAAAGAGAGTTGGTATTGTACTATAGATGTGGAGAATAAATGATTCATCAAGGAAGTTTTCAAATGTTGATTTTAAAAAAAAAATTTTTTTTTTTGTTGTAAGAAGATAAGTCTTGTAAGAAAACTGAGGAACATGAGATTTAATTAACAAAATTTATTGAAAATGTTCAATAATATTCTGTCTTTAGGAGTCACCTACCTTGAATGACTTTAAAGTAAGTGCAATTAAGATCAGATTTTTATGATCGCTGTGGAGTTGTAGCTATCTTATGAATATGCCTTAAAAAAAAATTCAATTCCAGTAGTATTCAGAGATCATCATAGCTTTTTATCTGATTCCAGTGCTGTTTTAACTCTTGTGGAAGTAAATTTATGTACTTATTACATTAAGAATTTTAAAATAAACCCGTACCGTCCTTCTTCCTCAGATTCAATAAAAAAGTTCAAACTTCATTTTCTTAAAAAACTAATAGGAACGAATGTAAAGGTGTTTTTGTTTCTTCCATTATAATATTCCTACTAGATTTTAGCAATTAAAACAAAATATTTTTTAAAAAATTTCAGTTAAAGTCATTTTGAAAACTGATTTAATGGTGAAGCTGTGTACAGATTATCCAAATGTAAAAGACATGATTGATGAACTATGTAAAAATTTAACACTTTAAAAAGTAAATAAAAGTGTTTAAAGTTGATGATCATGGATGTCATTGATAATGAATACGGTTACGGTTAAAGTAATTCTAATATGCAAATGCAAATGGTTGTTTATGAACAATTATCACTGTAAAAACATATGCTTTCTGTTAGTCCTAAAAAAAGCTCATTCTTCAATATATTTACAGCTGGAATATCAATAAAGTTCAAGCCATTAGGTTAAAATTTTAATCTTGAATTCATTACCCAAATATTTACTTACTCAGACGAATTCACCGATGATAGGTGAAATTAACTTGATCTTCCTGATAAAAGTTACAACAATATTATTAATTTTCTCATTGGTAGATGTAACAACAAAATACTTTAGCAAATCTCCTAGAAACATTTGCTGCTCCGAATTCCATTAAAAAATATATAGTAGATAAAAATTAAAACAAAAATTTGTTATATATATATATATATATAAATATGAAATATGAAGCTATTATAAAGTTGCAATAGCATCATTTTGATTATATTTTGTATTACAATCAATCATTCTATGTTTACAGAAAATAATTCTTCAATAGATAGCAAGCATCAATTGAATGTATTATCAAATAGAGGAACATCATGCTTTGAAATATCAAATGCAATCTAATGCTTCACAAGGCTACAGAGCAATCACTAATAATTAAATGTATGAAAATTTAAATATTAACTTTCAGTATTTCCATAAAACATCAATTATTTATCAATAAAATAAGATAGATCCTTACCCCATAGGAATCTGTTGAGGTATTCCCCAAAGAAATAAAACAAAAATCCAGTAAAAAATGATGCTGTAAGGAATAGAATCCTTGCTGGAACACCAAGGACATTTAGTATAGGATATGCCCATAGTCCGCTCACAAAAAATACGATATTCATCCTAAAAATGATTAAAATTATATTTAATATCTCTATCTACTTTATTAAACTTAAAGGACAAATAAGTTATGTAAATTAGGAACTTATGTGGATTTATAAAAATATTATAAAGGAAAATGAAAAAAAAAAGTCAGTATATTAAGAAATATTTAAAACATACTCGTTTCATTTTTGAAATAAAAATCTTATTTAATTTATACTTCAATTAATTTTGTTCAGGATCTGAGCTTTCATATAAGATTCACCAGCAAAATCATAATTTACCTATCTATTTAATTACCTAAGATCTATTTCAATGCATAATTAATATTCATAGTATTTTTTTAAAGCATAGTAAGTTTTTTCATTAAAATTAGATGCTTTTTCCTCTATTCAAACCAATATAATCTAAATATCAGTTTCCTTAAAAAAAAAATGTGCAAGTGATTAATTTTAAATTAAATTTTATCAGAACTATAAATATGTTACTTATCACCTTCAACCATTTTATGGAATACTTTAATATTTATACATACATAACTGAAGTAATTTATTTATTGAGTACAAATATGAACACTGTACATTTAATAACTAATACTTTAAATAGACCACAACAAATTATTATAAGAACAAACACTAAACAATAAACAAAAATTAATTATAAGAATGAAACTCACAATTATTTATTTAAAAAAAAATATTAATAATTGATCGGAGTTCCAAAAATAGAAAAAATAAAGAATTAACATTTATTTAATACTAATTTCTATTTTGCAATTAGAGAATTCAACATTATTTATTTTGAAATTAATATATAGTAATTTATACTAAATAAAATAAATAAATATACAATTCACTATTTATTTTTTGTTATGAAATTTCTGTTCAGTGTGAACTTTAGTAATAGTTTTTTCCTTGAAATTATATTTAATGAATTTTATATTAGGTTGAAATATGTATTTTTTTTTCCTTTTTCTTAATGTCTATAGACAGTTTTAGTTTAATAGTCCTAAAGAAAGAAATTTATTTATAGAATCTAATTAAAATTCAGAATTACGAGACAATGAATATTTAGTTAATAAAATACTACATACCATACAAGATAGAGACCTTGGAATACAGATAGACCAAGTAAACCCCATTTCTTAGGTGGAAAGTCTCTCCTCGAAGTGGTAATCTCGAGGAATTGAAAAATCACGATGTTTGTATGCATTACATGATTTAACCAAGGTGGGAAATATGGGTCCAAAGCTTTAGGCAGGACTAACTCACGGTCGACTGCCATTAAAGACCAAAATGTGAAGCCTACAAACTAACAAATATCACGAATAACTGGATTGCTAATTTCTAATGAGCATTTTTATAATTAAACATGAAAGTATTGGAAAAAATATAATTTGCATAATGTAGCTTACATTTTTGGATATACCTTCAAAATATGTAATGACTGTTATTCATGAAAAATGATAATCACTAAAAACTATTAAATCAAATACAACTGAAATACTCTAAATTGGTATTAATTATGAAAATCTCATTGACCAAAATCTAATAATGTATTCAAAAGATTATCTCAAGTTTTTTGGGAGAAAATTTGATTAAAATTATTATTCATTGAAAGATTATTAAACATCTTCATGAAATATTTTAAAACTGTTTTGCACTATAAAGATTGGATCAAAAATAATCAAAATGAAAAGATGTTATTTTTTTTTCTTTTAAGATTGGACTTTTTTATCTCAGAAAAATGTATACTACTTAATTTTCACTTGATGATAAAATCATAATTTGAAGCAAATGAACACAAAATTAACTGTAAATAACGATAATTAAAATAATCTGTAGAAAAGATCAAATGATCATCACTCTGGTTATTTAATAACCAAGTATTTAACTAAGTTATTTAATAATTAATAGATCAATAATTTTACTAAAAGATAAAATATAGAATTTTTCTTTTTTTTTTCAACATTATAATGAAATAAAAAAAAAAAAAGAAAATTTGGTATAACTTCAGGTTGATATTTATTTTAATTCTATTAAGAATACTTCTGAAATCCAAATGAACTTATCTAGAAATAATTTAAAACTTATCTAGAAAGTTTATTTTTTAAAAAATACAATTTTTCAAATTATTTATCAGCTTAAAAAAAGTATATTTTTGACAAGTAGCAAGTATATATTTAATTTTAATTTAGAAATTTTCTGTCTGGCTATGATTTGATATGCTATTATATAATTAACGAATGATTTAGTTGTTAAAATACAATTACATAGTAATTTAAAATATAATCTACAATTTAAATAAGTAAAATGAGGAAATAAGCAGGAAAATGAGCAACTTTAGTGCCCTCTCATTTATTTCCCATGAACTATTCCGCCAGATTTACTTTGCACTGTGAATAAGAGAGGGCACCGTTGTTGTAGCTGCAAAAATTCAAATAAGTGGAAAATTCAAATAGTTCACCTGCTTACCATGGACACCGGGAATGCCATACTACATTCAACGAAGTCCCTTACTTTACACAACATCGTAGGTTCCTCGGTATGTTTGTCTTTCGGTCCGAGGATGTCGTTGACAGTCGCCAATATGAAATATGTTGCTTGCAGCAGCTGCAAACACGAAAAAAATGTTCTAAATGATTTTTGAAAAAAATAAAATAAATGCACTTCACTTGGATGAAGGTAACACTTTTCACCAATCCTCCCAAAACCGTTTTGCGTTGACACGCATTGCGGCGCAAGGAGAGTAAGGTTGAATGTTGATATCAACCGCAGTTGATTAAAGAAAAAAGAAGAAAATGAGGGTCAAATTGTGAATAAAAAGAGGGGAGCACTCACAGCATCCCAATAGGTGAGGAACTTCAACTTGTAGCCGAAAGCGGCGAAGATGGGTGACACTTCCTTGGGGATGTTTACTTCGAACCAGTCGTAGTAGCAGCCGAAGGTGAAGTGGACAGCTCCTACGGCGTGTACGATGCATGATATTGTCTTGAAAACACCTTCGTGCTTTTGGTAGAGTGAGACCTCCATAGTCGCTGGCTTGGGCGCTACTGGCCGCTGCGCCCCCTCGTACTAGATCGGAGTACTACCGCAGTCCCCCACCACTTCTCCTCCGTACCGCGTTCGATGCCTTATTTCATTCAGTCCTGGTGCCGTATCTTCTTTTTCCAAGCTGGATTAAAAAAATGTATAAATGATATATATCTTTTCCTGTTTAGTTATTTATATAGATAAGGCCCTAAACGTACTTAAATGTAACGTTGAAGATCATTTGGGAAAAATCGACCATATTGTTGATATATCGTTTGTTTATATTAAACTTTCAATTACGTAATAAGTTAATCAGGTCTCAGTATAGAAAAATTAGTTAATCCTTTGCTTCTTTAAAACATTATCTTTTCCTTTACTTCTAGTTAAAACATCAAGTATGATCATTGAATTGTAAAGAACACCATATGTTTTGATGTAAAAAATAAAATAAATAAATTGATGTTTTTTCGTTTCCATTATCCACACTATACACAACATAGCATAGGTCCTTTTACGGCTCTTGGGAGCGATGAATTTCGACAAACGAAGTTCAAAAGGAAAGGAAATTTCATAAACATTCCAATTTCGATAGTTAAATTCTTACTACAACTTTAACAAAAGTAATTGAAAAAATGACGTGAATACATTGCCGGCCTTAGGAGCGGGCAACCTGGTGGACAATTGCCCCGGGGCACCGACCTGGAGGGGACGCCTGCAGCTTGTTAGGAATAAAATAAGAATAATTAATTTAAGCCTATTAATATAGCAACTGGTTATGTTAGAGAGATATTTAATGAAATACAGTTCAAATATTAATAATAATATAAAAAAAAATTAAGAGATAATTCTTAAATGATAGTTAAATTCTTCTTGGAATAAGTGGTAGCTATTTGCAGCTAGGTCTGGTGAATAGGGAAGGTGGTACAAAAGATGCCATCCAAGGCTCAATAATTTATTGCAAGTGACCAATGGGGCTTAGCGTTGTCTTGGTGGAATACAACACCCTTCCGATTATTCATAACTCTTCAGGATGTTCTCCAAATTCTATGTTACTATATCCGCTGGAAAGCTGAATTATCGCTCTTTGAATTAATGCCTCAAAAGGCTTTTTGATTTAATGCCTGCAATAAGGAATAAATAAACAAAAACTCCTTATAGGTTTTTATTTTTATCTTATTTTTGTAGTTTGTTTACGAAGCTCATATTGATGTCATTTTGTGTAGTTTACGTGGGTCTAAATTCCTGCTAAATTTCTTGTAAATAAAGCTTGTAGCTAAAGTCGTATTGAAGTTGTAACGTTTTTTGTGATTTTCGAAAAAAAATCATGTGAGGGACTCAAACATTTAGCCTGGAAACATAGCCGAGCTTGTGCAAATGGTTTTCTACGCTTGTGTGGGACACATTTATGGCCATATCAGTGCGGACGCTACATCATCACGGAGGAAGATTTCCCTCAGCTAGTTAGCAAGGACTACTACCCGTATTGGGAAGCCTTCGTGCATGGGAAAAGGAATTAGTGAGGGTTAATCATTATAACCTCCAGACAAATTGGAAGAACGAAGAGTCATGAGAATAAACGGCAGAAGTAGCATACGATATTTCTTCCAAAAATCTATGTTGGCGAGAGGCAAGAGGATGGCTATAATAAATGAAATACAGTTATAAATTTTCCGAAGTATTTTAAGAATTATTATAAAAAAACAAAAACAAAAAAAAAAAAACAACAGACGAATATGGGAAATATCACAGCATCTTCTATCCTTCTCTCACACTCTTACACCACTGATTTTGCTTGCATTTTCGGTCTAAAAGATTACTCGAAATTAATCTTAACATTAATCACAACTAATTAATGGTCCATCCGGATCGCATTATGAATACAACTTCACTGTTACTTAATCTGATAACAATACGAAACTCATAAGTGCGTGTAAAGCACCAAACTGTCTTTCTATTCTATATCCTTGGCAGATCTGCTCTTTATTAAGAGCTTTCTTTCTTATTTAAAGAAGTCATTCAAAATTATTATTACCAATAGTTACTTTCATTGTATGTATGTATGTAATATATAAAAAAAGGAAAGTATTGCGATCGTGAAAATTTTCGAATCTGAGTTTTCAACGTAAATACACGTTTTTAAGCCCCCTGAGTCCAAATAACCAAGTCCCGCATAATGGTGTGTGTGTGTGTGTGTGTGTGAACTGTATAGCTAAAAAAAAAAAACGAAAAGTTGTACGAAACTGAAAATAGAAATTTAAGTCAGGTAATACCTGGGATGTTACAGCAAGTTTTTCATTAAAATAGGTAAACCGGAAGGGATTTATATCATCGATCTTACACATTTTTCTTAAAAATAGCTCTAATGATTTTGATTAAATTCGGTGCATCAATGTATAATTAAGTAATCTCTAATATCATTTAGGTCTTAAATGCCAAATGACCAGAATGTCTTCTTCTAAATTACCTTTAATTTGGTTTATTTTAAATCATTAACTATCTCTTTATGTTAGGAGTTATGAAAAAAGACTAAATATAACTTTTGAAAGAATTCGATTATTGAATAAAGGAGAAAAAAAGAAAAATCGAGGTCGAAAATAAATCTCCGGAAATAGTCAGTAGGTATATGTATAATGTATCGTTGGAAAGCGGAGAATTTTAGGAAAATTAATATCTAATAAATATATTTGTAGAATATAACGTTAGTTGACGGTTAAAATATAAATAATAATTTCTGAAAACTAAAATTATTTAACGTAAACCACATGTTTCCAAGGAAATTAAACGAAATTTTCATACTAAACGGAAACTTTTAATCAAGGCATCAGGCTTTGTTTAATAACTCTTTCATTATACTTGTATGGCAGAAGAATTGAAATATAAAAATATTTCATGGATATATTTATAACCTTAAATACTTTTACTGTAGCTTAATTATTTATTTCATTTATTTGTATTTTATGCAATTTGCAACTGCGCGGCTGCGCATCTAGCAAATTTGTTGTGTTTGTACAGTCTTGGTGTTTTTTCTTGATTTGGTTTTTATTGATGTAGTAGGTCTCTTGGCCATTTTCTTAATAATCTGCGTTGTTCAGGTAACAGGGAGCAGGAGATAGAAAGAACCAGAGGATTGGAGTGATTTTGGGTTGAAGAATGAAATGTAGTGTATTTGTCGTGGATGTAGGATTTTACTGTTGGGGTGTTTAAGTCGTTATGTATAGTAGAATTTGAAATGTACCAAGGTGCGTTAACAATTTTTCGTAAAATTTTTGATTGTGCTGTTTGTATTTTGTTTATGTGTGTTTGTTTTGCAGAACCCCAAAGTTCTGCTCCATATGACCATATTGGTCTCAGTAAGGTGTTGTAGATCAGTCGCTTGTTTCGTAAGTTAAGTGAAGATCTGTAGTCCAGAAGATGTGAAAGTTGGCTATATCGTCTAGTAAGTTCTTGTCTTTTTAATTTCGTATGTGTGTTCCAAGTAAGTCTTTTGTCTAAGTAGAGTCCAAGGTACCGTACATAGTTCTTTGAAGGCACTGGATTATTGGCAATCGTTATGGGTGGGCATGAGGCTTTCCTAAGAGAGAAACTAACGTGGGTGGATTTTTTACTATTAATTTTGATTCTCCAGTTTTCAAGATCATGAAGATGGTTTTGTAGGGCAATTGATGCGATAGTAGGATTTTTGTGTGAAGTTAGAATAGCAGTGTCGTCAATGAAGAAATAAATGGTGGTATTGGGGTGCTCAGTGATATCAGAAGTGTATACAGAATATAGTATTGGGCTTAAGACGCTACCTTGTGGTACGCCTTTGTGTTGGGGAAAGAAGGAAGAAACAGAGGAACCTATGGAAGTACAGAAAAATCTATTAAGAAAGTAGAATAGAAGAATTAAAAAATAAGTGGAAGGTAAGTGCGGTTTTAGTTTCCATAACAGGCCCTTGTGCCAGACACTATCAAATGTTTTCTCTATGTCGAGAAAGACGGCAGAGCAATATTCCTTTTTCTCGAAAGTCACAGAGATAGCATCTACTATCCGATGGCACTGTTGCACAGTAGAGTGATAACAGCGAAAGCCAAACTGGTGATTTGGTATCACTTCACTATTTTCTAGAATAGGCTTTAGACGGTTTAGTAGTTTTCGAGTTAGTTTGTTGAGTTTGTTTGTTCGAGTTAGTTTGTTCTTTGCTATAGAGCTCTAATCCTACGTTTTTCTTTTATAATATTATGTATTGGCTGAGGTAGGTAAGAAGCTGGTTTAGTGTATGTCTTTGGTGGTCTCGTTGAATGCCAAATAGCCTCTTGTATACTTTTTTATTAGATCGTTGACTGCAATATTATTTGTTACTTTCCTACCTATACTAGGTAAGGAAAGTATTGCAATCGGATCAAATTTCCGACATGCGGTTTTCGACGGATCTATACGTTTCACAGCCCCCTCAGTCCGAAAAACACATTTTTAGCCATTGGTCTGTTTGTCAGTCTGTCTGACTGTGCCAAGATTTTTTCCGGAACTACTGAACCGATTTTGTTGCTTCTTTTTTTGTTTTTTAGGGTTTTGACTACTGATGCCTGTGACAGAAATTCGTTGCTCCATGCGCAATAGCTTGCGCGCAATAAATGAAAGACAAGTTTTTCTATAGAATGTACCACGAAAACGGCTCTAACGGTTTTGATGAAACTTTTCTATGATTTTCTAATCATTATCATTTTAATCGTTCATCTTGTTCATCTTCATTTTAATTGTTCATCGTTCATTTTGGACAACTATTAACGAAGTTACAGCAATTCAATTTCCAATGAAAGATTACGAGTTTACTGTTGCCCGCATCACACAATCTTAACTATTTCCTCTACTTTTAACAGAAATTATTGTTTGACAATACTAAGCCATAGCAAAAAGTTTTTGATCAGCAATATTAGTGAGTATTAAAATTTTTACACTGATCTATCTTAACCCGGTTTCATTGCTTTAGTTTATCTAATAAATTGTACTCAAATCTTTTGTTTGATCAAT